GCAATTCCAGGAAATGCTAAAGTTGAAGACAAGGAAATGGAAAAATTAACAAAATACAGAGACTTGTAGATGAAACACACTTCATTTGTCCCCATAGTTACTGAGAAATTCGGAACACTGCCACCGAGTTTTATAAAATAGTATAATCAGCTGCAGATCTCTAAAATAACACCATCAGAAGTACAAAAATGACAATATTATGAACAGCAGATATATTGCATATTTAACTGATACTTACCTGTAGGTTTTTGGTTAAAATATATATCTTTTATATAATACTAGTTAAAGATTGTCCCTTGTATTATTGAATCATAACCATAATCATCCTAAAATGAACTGAGCTAGCGAAATGAATGCAGCGATTCAGGAGTACAATATGGAGCTGTTTGAACCAATTGGTATATGAGGGCAAAATTGAGCGGACACAACCCCAGTCTATTCCCCTCTATTCAGCACTGGTTAGGCCTCACCTTGAGAATTGTGTCCAGTTCTGGACACTACCCTTCAAGAAGGATGCTGACAAATTGGAACAAGTTCAGAGGAGGGCAACAAGGATGATCGGGGGCTGGAAACCAAGCCCTATTTATTTTATTTTATTTGTTTATTTATTTATTAGATTTCTATCCTGCCCTTTTAGACAAACTCTACTCTGGGCAGGTTCCATCAAATATTATAAACAATTATAAACAATAGTAATTAGTAATGGTCAGTAGTGCTCAAGATGGAAAAACGGAAAAATGTAGCAAAAATAAAGTCAAGAATTGACAGGAGGGAAGGCCTGCCAAAAGAGCCAAGTTTTTAATGGGCTCTTAAAAACTAGTGTCAATGGTCAAAAAGTAGGATCATCATTTCATATAAGCCCTATGAAGAAAGACTGAAAGAATTCGGTGTGTATAGTCTTGAGAAAAGAAGACACAGGAATGATTTGATAACACTTTTTAAATACTTAAAAGTAGTCATACAGAGGAGAGACAGGAGCTGTTCTCAGTCATCCCAGAGTGCAGGACATAAAACAATGGGCTCAAGTTACAGGAAGACAGATTTTGGTTGAATATCGGGAAGAACTTCCTAACTCTTAGAGCAGTACGACAGTGGAATGAATTACTTCGCAAGGTGGTGAGTGCGCCAACAATGGAAGCATTCAAGAAAAACTTAAACAATCACTTGGCAGGTATCCTTTAACCTGTATTCCTGCGTCGAGCAGGGGGTTGGACTTGATGGCCTTATAAGCCCCTTCCAACTTCACTATTCTACAATTCTATGATTCAGTTTCTGTCACCCCTAAAGTCCCAGTTTTACCCGAGGCCTATTATTATCACACTCCAGTGCACATAATCTTATTGTGAAATTTCGGGCCATTGTCTTATTGTGGAACTCTTCAGAGAAAAGCATGCACAATTTATTTATTTTTACTTTGTTTGGAAGAAGAGCAAACACCAATCTGTGGCTCAGCTCCCGCTGCAAAACAATGTTTATTTAAAAAATAAATCCCACTGGTTTCATTAAAAGTAAACTAGCACGAGCACTTAGGGTTACGGACTTAGAAATTATGAAAAATATAAGTATAAACTGCAGCAGCAAAATGTGAGGTAAAAAAGGGTGGGGTGGAGAATTTCAGTTGGTATAATCTTTATGAGCACAGGAATAGAATGTTAAACCATTGTTTAGTGTTACATGAATAAATTGGCTCTGATCTTGGGTTTAGATGCTCCCTCACTCCTCTCACCTCTCATGCACGCCTGAACTGGTGATCAGAAGCATCTTCTGCTGCTTTAAAACTTAACCAGAGTGTTTACATCTCAACTGGTGGAACTCCAATACAGTTGATGAATAAGCCAGGATCATAAACCAAGGTTTGATCCTGGCTTATCTGAATTACCTTGAAAATTAGCTGAGTCTGTTACTTTCTGAGTTCAGATATATTAGGGACATTTAAATGTGCATTTAGCAATCAGGCTTCGATGTGGAAAGGGGAGAGTAACCTACAGTTTTACTTCCTTCTTTTCTTCCTACCTTCCTTCCTTCCTTTCACTTATTAATTCAGACATTCAAGGCCAAGAAGAGGACTTAAGGCAACAATTTTAAGAAGCTTAGGTTTAGTTTCTTAATGCTGAGGAAAGACTAATGCTATTTTTGAAAGCAGACTAGAGTGCTGTGTTGAAGGCAGAATGGAGGAAGTATTTTGATTTCTAAGTTACAAAGATATCCAGAACTTTAAACACCTTTACATGAGTCATATGATTAATTGAAATAATTACAGGTTGTGGAGGAGGGGGGAAATCTCCTCAGGAAAAAGAAAGAAGACTCATGTAAATGTGTGGGAGAATGAATTTTTTCCCCACTAATCTGTTCAATCGCAGGGCTGTTCTTCACCCATAGTCGTGAAATTTGCCGATACCCAGAAGGACAAGGAGCAGAGACGTTTACAACAGCAGCTGGCACAACAAATGCAGCAGCTCAACACTGCCACCTGGGGGAATCTCACAGGTCTTGGAGGACTGACGCCACAGTACCTGGCTGTAAGTAATCATCAGATCTAATTGCAAGCACTTTTCGACGCAAACGTACAATACTTAACTTAGCAGAATGTGTTTTAAGCTTAGCAAGAAATGCATCCTTCATTAAAATGCCATGCAAATTGACAGCAGTGAGTTAAGGGTGCTTCTCAATGAACTGTACTGTTGAATACAAAATAAGAGCTTTAAACGAAAGGCAAGGAAACGGTCCATCCTTCCCCCCCCGCCCCTCAAGACTAGCGCTGTTGTATTTCAGAATCCAAATGTTGTATGTTGACGCTGAAATGAAAGTCAGAATGGCTGATCAGTTGTTGAAGTGAAGTATGTACCTGGGCATAAAGAAATATGGGTCAATACACAGCTACCTACTCTGGTATCTACACGATTCTCATGTTCATAGCACTTCTGTAATATTCGCAAAGTATTCAGGCAGCTTTTATTTGCTTTTCGAAACACTGAATTTTGGGTATTTCTGTTCTTGAATTGTAGAATTTAAAAAAAAAGAAAGAAAGAAACAAAACCACCCATTTATAATATTATATATGTGACATAATAATAATATGTCCCTGCCTGGAATATCTAGGTAGGTCCACATATTCTGGGACCAGCAGTCCCCACAGTGCTGGGGGAATTCATTATATTGTTCGTTCCAAACAAGAAGTATTTTTCCCCAAATTTGGTGGCTCCTTTTTTAGTTCATTAAGACCACAAGCACATCCAGGGAGAAGAAGGCCAATGGAAGAAGGAACGAGAATTTGTAAATGAAGATTAACAGGCAGAAGAGAACAGGCAGAGGAGAGATAAAGCTGGCTCCTTTCTGCTCACTCACTAGTCCACGCCTGTTTGTGCCCCCAAATTTTTGCTATTTACAGATATCAGCATAGATTTGTGATGGGGAAAGTGCGCTCCTGTGGGAGGTGTATTTGGCAATAAATAGGGGCAGAGTGTAGCCCATCCCCAGACCCCATGGAATGCACCAAATATTCCCTATGGCAAAAAAAAAATGAAAACAAAAATTAAAATTTAAAAAAATCAGTAAGATGACGACTCAAGAGTGGTAAGGTTTGCAGGGGCGTATCTCAGGACCCTTGCAAAAAGCCACCCGTAGGTACACATCCAATCCCTTCTAGTTTCCTCCCCCCCTCCTTCCCATCCGCATTTTGTGAGGCACTTCCACACCTGATGTAGTAGTCTAGCAAAGTTGGGGAAGAAGGTTCGGTTCCAGCTCCAAGCTAGTTCCCAGTCCCTCCTCTCGTGCAAGACAGAGAAAATACTGTAAGCATCTTTCCTCAATCCCGGCATTAAAAATAAGATTTTTTTTCTTTTAAAGAAAGAAACAGCTAGTAATTTGCTGTTGTCTCATGATGCCTGGAATCTGCTACCTCAGACACGTGCCTTAGACTGCCTAATGGTATGGCCAATGCAGATATAGGCTAAGTATTTCTATTGCATATTTATAAACGTATGGACATATTGTACAGTAGAACTCTGAAGAAGGGGGAAATTGTCCAGAGTTTTTCACCTCTGTCCTCCATCCCCATGGAAGTTAATCCCGTGCCTACGTTTAACACATATGCTGCAAATTACAGTGGTGCCTCGTTTAACGACGAATCCGCATAGCAATGTCGCTTTTGCGATCACAAAAATGATTGCATTGTGATGTTTACATAGGCAAAAACTCGCATTGCGATGATCGGTAAGCGTTTCGCTTACCGATCTTCGCATTGCAATGTTTTTTTAACAGCTGATCGGCAGCTCCAAAATGGCCACCGGGTGCCCAAAATGGCCGCCGCAAGTGTTTTCGCGCCCTGCCCTCGCTTATCAAGGGCACGAAAATGGCGGCGCTATGGAGGAACTTCGCTCAACTGTGAGTTTGGGCCCCATAGGAACGCATTAAACCAAGTTTAATGCATTCCTATGGGTTTTTTCGAGCCGTTTAGCAATGTTTCTGCATAGTGACGATTAATCCGGAACGGATTAACGTCACTATGCGGGGCACCACTGTAAATAACTGGGTTTAAACTGATAAAAAGATACTTGGAATACTGTTTTCTGTGAGTTGGTACATTTCCAGTCATCCAAAGTATGATCTGATGGGCAGGGTTGAGCCTTTGCCTCATCTGTTCCTTCCTTTCCTCCTGCCCAGTTTGTTATGTTTGGCTGAATGAGTAACTTCCAAGTATGATCAAACCATGGTTGGCTGTTACAGCCAGACTTGCAAACTATAGCTTGTGTCAGATCAAACCATAATTTCCAAATTAGTTAGATCAAGTTAGTCTACTTGGATGTCCACACAGAAGCCAGTATAGCACAGTTCAGAGATGACTTTGATGTTCCCTCCAGGACAGGATCAGAATGGCATGTTGTCTGAGGTTTAAAACAGAATCCTGCCATTTATGCTCAGTGGAGGCAGGTGGACTATGATTTCATGTGGGCGGTGAATCTGCTGTGGGTTTTAAGCCCAAACTTTAAAGGAGCTATCTAAGGTGCTGATCCTGTTTTGAGGTATAGATTCAGTACCTTGGACAGCTTCTCAAAAGTTTGAACCGAAGCCACCCCCATGAAGTTGAAATTACCAGCCATCACTGCACCAGCTTTTACCAACATAATGTCCTACAGATTTTTGTCCTTGGCTTGTGGTCAAGGATGGTGGAAGTTCAAGTCCAAAAAAAATCTGAGAAATATAAGCTGTGCTGTATGATACAATGGCCAGAATCCTGTTGGCATTTGCATAAAGTTTGTGCAAGTGTTGCAGATGTACCATTTGCATGTGGTTCTTTTGGGCTACAAATCCCAGGAGTTTCCATTCTGGGAATCCCACCTGCCTGACAGACAACTACAGATACCTCAATGTGACTCTCTGGGAAGAAAGGCCCCTGTAACTCAAAAGCCTAACTTCATGGCCTAGCATAGATCTAACTCTGCCTAGCTTCCTCTTCAAGCATGGGGAGCTCTCAGCAAACACTGGAGTAGCTTCTCTTTTTTTCAAACAGGAAGCTAGGCACAGCGAGACCTATGGTAGGCCATGCAGTCTTCCACCTTAGACTTTTCTCCTAGGTGAGTCGCATTTAGGTGCCCCATCTATCAGCTGGGGCACGTAGAACAGAGAATTCTAGGATTTGATTTTTTAAAAAAATTAAACCCTGAATGGTACACTTTTAGCATCTAATTTCAGCTAATTGACACCACAATGGGGCAAAAAAAGGAAATTGTGCTGCTTATATACCTTCCCATAGCGCTTCAAGCACTCTTTGGGCGGTTTACAAGTTAATTATGCAGGCTACACATTGCCCTCCCCCCAGCGAGCTGGGTACTCATTTTAATGACCTCGGAAGGATAGAAGGCTGAGTCAACCTTGAGCCGCTACCTGGGATTGAACCCCGGGTCATGAGCACAGTTTTGGCTGCAGTACAGCGGTTTAACCACTCAACTGAAATGCATCCCAGGACCTTCTCAAGTAGCCAGAGGAAGTTATGCAAACCCTATGCAAGTATCAATACTGATTCTGGCCAGTTTGACTTCCATTCCGTGCCCTTTGTAAATTCTATAAGGTGTCATCCCAAGAAGGACAAAGAACTGTTGGAAATATTGGATCTCTTGTACTCAACCATGTGGCACTTTGAGATTTCTCAGTGGCTCCTTAGGCCCTTTGACATGGCATTGCCCTTATGCATGATGGCAACACAAAGGTACCTGCTCATCTGACGTAACACCTACACCATAACCCATGCCAAAGTTGGAGGGTGGGGAAAGCTTCTCTTTTAAGTGGGGAGATGGAAAATAGTCTGTGATTGACAGAGATGAGTTATGGTAACTGCTAGACTGCAGAGGGCAATGATTAGTCACGCTACGTCAGGCTGAAATAGATTTAACACCTGGCTGTTTAAAAAGAGTAAATTGATTAATTGTTTTAAAGCAGCAATGTTATTGAGTTTCCCCAGTGTCTGTGTGTTTCTTAATAGAGATTAGACATTAATATGGATTTACAGCATCGACTCTGGGGACCTTCATACCAACACCAGGCAGAAGCAAGAGACAGTATAAATGTAAAGGAAACTACAGTATAAGTATCCCAAATTTAATTTGATTCAGATAATTTTGCTTTAATCTTAACTTGTTGCGCTATTAACCTCATTAATGTTGTTATTGTTGTCGATTTGCAGCTTCTACAGCAGGCAACTTCCTCCAGTAACTTGGGAGCTTTCAGCGGCATTCAACAAATGGCTGGTGAGTTGGGTTTTGTTAGCATATGGATTCAGTATGGACCTTGGCTTTGTAGGTTTAAAAAAATTGAGCCTTTTAATTTAAGCATCAGTTCTAATGCTGGATGTGATGGAAAGAACATGCAATGTGCGTTAGATCAGATTTTAAGAAGTGCCTCTAGATTATATTTGTCATTCCGTTGACTTAGGCTTCCAGGGGCATATCTTTGAACGCCCTGTTAAGGAAATAGAAAGGATCTTGCTGACTCAAGTAGAAAGTTTCATCCAGTGTCCTGATTCCTACAGTAGCCAAACTCAGAAATAGCAAAAGTTACTCTTCCCCACCACCACCACCACCCATGTATAGTTCTAAGAATACCCGAGACATCTTGTCCATTGTCTAGGCTAACTGAGATGTTTGGGGGTGGGTGGTGTCGTAGCCCAAAAACCCAGTGTTTACAATCTCAAAGTCATTAAGATGCTTCCAGGAAGCCCTTTCTACTATTGCAATTAATATTCAGTGTGATACTTCTTCTTCTAATGTGTCTATAAAGGTGTCAGAACCTTTGAGAAACCTTCTCCTCCTCCATGCATTTATCTAAATCACCTTTAAGGAAACATCAGCTGATAGACCTAATGACTTCTTCTGCTATCATTCCTATGGGAGAAGAAGGCCCATAGCTTTCTAGTGAAGGTCACCTCCAGTATCTTGAAACCTTCCCGATTGACAGGACAGTCAGGTGTCACAAGATGTAGGCTGGATCCAAAGAGCACCTTTAGGTAGATTGAAAGGCTTAGGGGTTTTCAGTGGGATGTTTTAACTTTCAACCTTTCAACGAACAGTAGACTGTCATGCTATATTAAGCAATGCTTTTAAAGCTCCCCTCTGTTTCAAAAGAAGGTTGAAGCTCTCCAAATCCACAATTTGTGGGGAAGACCCCACTCCATGTTGGGAGAAGGTTAATGTAATTCATCAGGGTGTAGTAAAGGTGTATGTACTACGCAGAACCTATATAGCCTTTTCCGTAGAGTGAACGACAGGAGAAATCCTTTCAGATGGTTTTCCTTGCCAAAAATGTCTTGACTGTGGGCCTAATTTATGACCTATTCATCTTATTCCCCCTTGCCTTTACAATAGCTTCAGTTTCCACCCTTCTCTTCTCTTCTCTCTGGCTTGCTTAATGGTTCCTAAAACCTGTCATTTGGCAGGCCCCACAGAAAGCCAAGGACTCTTTCTTCAGTGGTTCCTCCGAGATGGGAGGGGTGTCCTTTCTTTTCCCTTAGAGTTGCCTGGCAATGAGAGAGATTTAAAGAGAGACCTTTATTGATGATCAGTGGAAGCAAGAGCCAAACAACATGGGATCCTGGGCAAAAGAACAGGCAGACAAAAAACTCCTAACATCCATTCAGTGGCAGAGGAATAATTTTTTGCAACTGCTTTCAGAGAAAATAAGAGAATTCCAAGTGGATGCTTTGTACAAGGAATCCCTGGGAAGTAGTTGAACACGAGTACGGTGCTTTGTTGTCTTCAAGGTGGGGTAATCACAAGCAGCCGCAGAGCTGGGATTACAGGGGAAATCTTCCTGAAGGCTAGTCAAAGACACTTTTATTCAAAAATGAACTCTGTTGGAATTCTTCCTAAAGTGGGAATATGTAGGTTGCTGCTTCCCGTACAGCGGAAATAAAAAAGACTGAATCAGAATTGTGTAAGTCGCATAACAAACCTTACAAGGTGGTGTGTGAAAAATTGATTCTAGTCTGTGCCCTGCCCCCTGAGGACCATATGGTCTTAGTTGAGGATGGCTACTCCTTACAAGGTGGTGTGTGAAAAATTGATTCCAGTCTGTGCCCTGCCCCTTGAGGACCATATGGCCTTAGCTGAGGATGGCTACTCCAGCGGTCCCGTCCCCAACCTTGGGCCTCCAGATGTTCTTGGACTGCATCCCCCAGAAGCCTTCACCACCACCTCTGCTGGCCAGGATTTCTGGGAGTTGAAGTCCAAGAACATCTGGAGGCCCAAGGTTGGGGGACCACTGCTATAGAGGACAAATTCTAAGCATTTCACAAGAGTTCCTGTATGTTTAGTGCTCCTGTTGCATTCATAGTTTGCATTTCTTTAAAAACAAAATGTCTGTAAGTGTAATCCTAATGCAAAGGCGTGTGAGTTAGAGTGGATTGGGAATGGGTAGAAGCCTCTTGTATTGGCCAATTGCCCACCTGCTGGGTGATCTTGGAGACAGTCAGAAGATCTGACTGCTCTGCTTTCTGCTGGCTAAGATCACCCAGAAAGCAGACTGCCGAAGAATTGATGCCTTTGAATTGTGGTGCTGGAGGAGGCTCTTGAGAATCCCCTGGACTGCAAGGAGAACAAACCTATCAATTTTAAAGGAAATCAACCCTGAGTGCTCACTGGAAGGACAGATCCTGAAGCTGAGGCTCCAGTACTTTGGCCATCTCATGAGAAGAGAAGACTCCCTGGAAAAAATCTTGATGTTAGGAAAGTGTGATGGCAAGAGGAGAAGGGGACGACAGAGGATGAGATGGCAGGACAGTGTCTGCGAAGCAACCAACATGAATTTGACACAACTCCGGGAGGCAGTGGAAGAAAGGAGGGCCTGGCGTGCTCTGGTCCATGGGGTCACGAAGAGTCGGACATGATTAAACGACTAAACAACGATGACAAAGATCACCCAGCAGAAGAGCAATAACTGGTGGAGGAGCTGGGTGAGGAGGGAGATGAATCATCATACCTTATCCAGGACACCTCCAACCCAGGGACACAGGCACTACCCTGACCCCAATTTAGGCTCACACGGGAGCAACCCTCGGGAATTTCCAGCCTCCCTAAGCTAAGAGTGCAGAGAAATTGACAGGATGCCTTAATTTTGGTTCCTGTATAAATGATGTGTCTTAGCTAGCTTTAGTTCCCCATGGGGAAAGTGGACATCAAAGTAGTCTCTGTGTCAAAGGGACCCGCCAGGCAGGCTGCCAGGAAGTGAGTCCCCTCTGATATGCTAATCCACAGGCCAAATGGCCAGGAAAACAATGGACACACCTGAATAGATAGCAAACCAAATGAATTGGGGATTTGTTCAAAGAAACCATTCCAAACCTGTGGTCTGCAGGATTTACACCCCCAAGGCTTTGAAGTGGGAAGTGAGTGGCTTTTAGGGGGGATCATTAAGATGACTCCGGAGATAGAGAGGAGAGGATTTGAAGGTTTTGGATGGCAGAAGGGATGGGGAATTTGAGCTTAGCTGGAGGAAGGGCACTAGCTCTGCCCGCAGTTAGTGAGAGTTTTAGAGATGCAACTTAGAAAAAAAAGGAAGCCATCTTAGGGGGCGCTGAGGGAAGAAATGGAGGGCTTCTGCCCGGGCATTTTCTTGTTTTCTTGTGTGTAGTAACTTTTGCCTGTGTGCATGACCCATTCTATCGTTTTGCTCATGTTCTAAGTGTTCTCTATCTCTTTTTGCATAAATTTGCTCATCATTTTCCAGAAGCTCGTCCTTTGATTTTCATAAGCTGTTTTCATGACCTTTTATTCCCTGGCTTTCAGCCAAGCAGAAACTTTATTTTGTTTTACTTTTTGTAATCATTTCTGTTGGAATAAACTTTTTAAAGACTTTTAGTCTGGAGTTTGCTTTGAGGAACCCGGACTTTTAGTCTGGAGTTTGCTTTGAGGAACCCGGACTTTTAGTCTGGAGTTTGCTTTGAGTATCCCAAATTTAATTTGATTCAGATAATCAACCATGACTACTGGTGGGTTTTGAGAACATCTTAAGAGTTCCCTGTGTTCAGGGTAAATTCTGTGCTCCTCTTTTGTTTTGTTTTTAAAGTTTTCTATTTATTGGGAAGGGTGGTGGTTCAGTGCCCAAGATCTTCTTGGGAGAGTTTTGGCCTCTGAAAACTTCACTGGGGGATCACAGTGTGATCCCATGACAAGGATAGATTAGAATTCAGCACAGCTTCGGCTAGTCTGGTGTCTTTGCTCATTAGCATTGTACTCTAAACTAGTGGTCTGCAATCTTGGGCCTCCAGATGTTCTTGGACTACAACTCCCAGAAGCCTTCACAAGCACCTCTGCTGGCCAGGATTTCTGGGAGTTGATGTCTAAGAACATCTGGAGGCCTAAGGTTGGGGACCACTGCTCTAAACTACCTTTCTTTGGTTAGAAACCCACTTGGTAATGATTGGAGAGCTGTTTCATCCACCTAGCCATTCCATAACTTCATTAATCCATTCATAGCATTGTACTGGCAGTGAAATGCCATTTCTAATGTCCAGCAAAAAACATCCATGTGCGCAGTTTGAACAGATTCATGGTAGTTTGGGAGTATAATAAGTATTAGATGTGAAAATATCATGTCCTTCTTAAGGACAGGGACGTGGTGGCACTGCGGGCTAAACCGCAGAGGCCTGTGCTGCAGGGTCAGAAGACCAAGCAGTCGTAAGATCGAATCCACGCGACGGAGTGAGCTCCCGTCGCTTGTCCCAGCTCCCGCCAACCTAGCGGTTCAAAAGCATGCAAATGCAAGTAGATAAATAGGGACCACCTCGGTGGGAAGGTAACAGCGTTCCGTGTCTAAGTCGCACTGGCCACGTGACCACGGAAGCTTGTCTTCGGACAAATGCTGGCTCTATGGCTTGGAAACGGGGATGAGCACCGCCCCCTAGAGACGAACACGACTGGACAAAAATTGTCAAGGGGAACCTTTACCTTTACCTTTCTTAAGGACACCTAAGATTACAGGATCTGTTTTCTCATGTGGGTGCATTAGGCTGCTTTTTATTCTCACTGGAGGTTAGGCACTTCTTTCGGACCTGAGCAAAACTTAACCTCTGAAACAGATTGCAAAGCAGGTTTATGTTTTCACATTAACATGTACCATCATCTGGTCCAGGTCTGGCTGCAGATGTGGGAGACGGTGGAAGAGACAGAGGGATGTCCCTAAAAAGCAAGGCAAAAAAAAAAAGGGGGAACGAGGAGCAGAAATCTATGTTAGTTGGGCCATCTTCTGTAATGAG